TAATGTTGGACTTGTGGGCTTGGGCAGCATTGGGTTGGGATGTTTTCGTGATGCACGTTTTCTTTACATAAAACTCTTATACATGAGTCTCTGTGGATTTGTTTCTCCAAAGTACCCAGACTAATACACCGTTCAAACAGGGCCCAGCAGGAAAGGCTTTGCAGAGTGGGGAAAGGGCACGTGGGTCTGTGACCCTCCACATACCTTTCAAGGGCTTGGGAGTAGCTTTCCAACTTCCCATTCTCCTTCCCCTCTGAATTTTCAATTCTCCCGAGAACAAACCACTCTCACTTCAGGCCTCAAGAAAACCATTCCCTAAATTTCACATCTCCTTCAGGGTCTGTTTGGATTCCTCGCCCCCTCCCCCAGCCCCCTCCTTCACCATTATAGCGCTGCTCACAGCACAGTGTCCATGGGTGTCCCCAGGGCCCAGCACGGGATCTAACACATAGTGGGCGCTCGGGAAGACATTTGTGCAAGGATGAACGACTGGTTCCACGGCGGAGCTCTTGCCCTGGCACCTGGCTCTAGGGAGCCCCTTCCTTCTGGGCAAGGCTGCTTAGGGAAGGGAAGCTGTGGACAAACTGCCAGAGTGGGTCTCTGGCTAAACCTGAACCTGAGGGCCTTCGGAGCATTGCTGCAAGTCTCAAGGTCAGAAAAGAAGCAATTTGTCATTGTTTGAAGTAGGACTTTTGGGTGTCTTTGAGGGCTAACTGACCTCGTGTCCTAAAGAGTTCTGCAGGCGCTAGCATTGTAAGTGTTGGACTGCCGCCTGCAAGATCAGCAGTTCAAGCCCACCAGTCACTCCACAGGAGAAAGCTGAGGCTGTGGGCTCCTGTAAGGGTTCCCAGCCCCAGGAGCCTGTACAGGGCGGCTCTCAGTTGGAATAGACTTGACAGCAGCAGGGCTCACATGCGTGCGCTTTCCTGGGACCCGTACTCCACATGGGCCAGAGCTTTGTTCACGGGGCAGCAGACCTGTGACTTCCAAGGTACAAGTGGCTCAGCCTGGCCAGTTAGGGTTGGAGCTAACCCTCCACAAGCCCGCTCCGTGAGTGAGGACCTGCACTTGTGGAGAAGTGGGTTTTCTCGGCTTGGGGACCGACGAAGGCCTCACATGGTAGATAGCAGACCTTCTGACTGCCCCCTCAACCGAGAGTGTTGGCTAAATCTTGCTCAATTTTGCCATGAAATTGGGGCACTTTGCTTTAGTTTCCAAATAGAAAGTTGAAGATGCTTGTCTTGGTTTCTTAGTGCTGCTGTAAGAGAAGCACCAAACGTTTCTAGCTTTAGGAAACAGTTCAGCATCCCAAAGCCCTGCCAACTTGGGGGTTACCGGTCCAACACCTACTGCACAATGCCTCCCGGCTCCTGTCCTTTCTTCTCCTCGTAGGAGGTTGATCAAACAACACCGGGGCCAACCATCTCTGCCCTCCACTGGCCTCCCTATTGCCAAGAGGCAGAGGTCCCTCCACCCTTCTTTACCCTACTCTGGCACCAACTGTTCCCCCTGTAACACTATTCTGCTGGGTGCCATAACTCATTGTAATGTCCACGCAGATCTCACAGAGAAAACTCATAATTATGGGGGTTTATTAGGAATGTTAACAGGCGATCATAACAAGTCAGGATCAGTAAACAGTAAGGATGCAATCACTGGTCCTCGCCGCCTCTCCTCAGCCAGCAGCCAGGTCTCTCTCTGGTCCTTAGACTCGCAGCCACATGCTTTGTCTTGGGTCTCTGTGGGCCAGGGAGGCACCCTCCGCTTTGCCTGGTCTCCTGGTCGCCATGCTGCTCCTCTGCTCTGTCGCCTGGTCTCCTTTCCTGGGCCTCTGGTCTTGGTGTGGCATGGCGCCTGCTGCCTCTGCCACTTCAGCGAGGGACTTGCAGCACAATCTGCTGCTGGCTCTTCTTCCTTGACGGGTACCAGGAATTTTTTCTGCTTCTGAGGTGGCACTTAAACACAGAAGATGGCTTTGATGTAGCGCTGGCTTTTGTCTATCTCACCCTGGAGTAAAGGAGACTCAGGTTGTATCCCACCCTAATCCTACCAATTCGCCTCGCGGAGGGAGTGCTCCCTCCAAAGTGGGGTTATAACACAGGCAGAGCGGCTAGAACTTGAGATGGTGGCTAGAAGGCCGTATTGATTCCATCGCAGAGGTTACGCATCTGGATAACTCTGGGCCATGGAGTCGCTGCCGGCTCAGTGACCTTACAGGACAGGGTAGACCTGCCTCTGGGTTTCTGGGGGCGGTAACCCTTGTTTAAAATTTTTAAATTATTTTATTGGGGGCTCATACAACTCATCGCAATCCATCCATCCATCCATCCATCCATCCATCCATCCATGGTGTCAAGCATATTTGT